GGGAGTTGAAGTCCACCCACCTTAAAGTTGCCACGGTTGAGAAGTGCTGCCTTAGAGAATTGTCAGAGCAGAGTCAGGATGCTTACTTTTGGCTTGGCTGCAAGCGAGGAAGCGGCTCAAGGTGTGGTCCAGATCTGCTTTCAGCTTCCTGTTCTGATCCTGCAGCTCCTTCATCCTTTTGGATAACTGGAAGACGGCAGCGCTGAGCACCTTCTGCTGCTGGCTCTCTGAAGATCTAGGCACAAAGAAGGGAAACGCAGCTGCCGTGGCTGCAAAGGCGATGTAAAACGTGGCAAACACCGGCTGCAATTTCTTGCTCCCCCCGCTTACCCCGAGTTTGACTGTCTCACCTGACGAAAATATTGGCATTTCTAAGCTTTCTGTTGACTTAATAGAGGCACTGCCTTAATTAAGTCTCCCTCCCCTGAAATCAAGATGGCAGCTTTCACCTGAAATCACAATTCTCCCCCAGTTTACTCTACCTCCATTTTCCTCCTGGGTTAAATGTTAGTTTGTACGTTCCTTGGGGCAGGGCTGGTACTTTGCACAGCTCACTGGGGGCACCACCTAACAATAATTACACTTCTAAATCCTCTTATTCCCCCCAAAAGAGGAGAATCTGCGGAATGCCACCAACACACACACACACACACACACACAAAACCCCCCAAACCCTGATAAATGCATTATTGATATTTGAAAAGTACAACCTCACACTTTGCCGTTACAATTTTGTGAAAGAATATTTAGAATCAGGATTCAACATATGCCCGGCCACGCGCTGAACTAAGCTGTGACGCGCCTTGTTTATTTCTGCTTGAGACAACCTATGAATGAAGCCAACATAGTTCAGCACAAAACGCGACCCCAGGCCAGGAGCCGCAACTTTCAAGCGTCCCAGCCTAGCCCTTCCCACCCTTGTACACATTTTGCTGTCTTTCAGGTGCGTTAGTGACATTCGCAGAACAGAATCGAGTTAGTCTTATTCTACATTTCCACAAAACTACCTTGAGCTCCACAATCCGCCAATGGTCCTTTGACTGCACAGACCCTTTTTCTATCTTCTTCTTTCTGAGGTGCCATCAATTTCTTCCTCCTCTGAATCTTTCATCTGATCTTATAGAAACTGGGCAACTTTTAGCATTCAGAGTATTTTTTTAGGAACCGGAAGCCCACAAGAAAACGTCTCTGTTTGGACTCCCCGAAGGCATATGTTAACACAGCATATCTATCAACCAACCTCTGGGGTTTAGGAAGAAAAGAAGTTTTTTGTTTTTGTTTTTAATTGTCAAAACCAACTCAAAATATAACCCTTCCCATCGTTTGCTACCTCATCATTTTAACGGTGGATGCTGGCAATCAACCTTGAGACCTTCTGCCTAAAAATGAAACGTTCCGCCATGAAGTTATGGCCTTTCCTAGAAGAACGCCAGTGTTATCCTCGGTGACCAAAAGAGACAGAATATAGCCACTAGATCAGTGTTTCTCAACCTTGGCCACTTGAAGATGGATGGACCAACTCCCAGAATTGGCTGGCTGGGAAATTCTGGAAGTTGAAGTCCACCCGTCTTCAAGTGGCCAAGGTTGAGAAACACTGCTGTAGATGTGTTCATTCAGAATGGTTGCACTAACCGTTCTTGAAGCTATATTATTCACTGTTTTTTTCCTATCAAACAGTGAGCAAAGGAGTTAGCCAGGAATGTAACTCTGTCCCAGCCTCAGCTCAGGAAAATGTTGATGGCCTGTGGAGTTGGCAGGTTAAGGCAGGGTTTGAGCACAGAGCATTCAAGCTAGAAGGGCCAAGGACAGAAAGACTGGGAGGCGTCACCCAAAGCTCATAATCTGCGACCCACTAAACTGGAGCAAAAAAAAAGGGGGGGGGATAAAATGTATCATTTGCATCTGGATTAGACCTGGAAAAGCAATCAGTGTAATGGGAAAAAAGGGCTGACAGCATGTTTGTCCCACTGCAGGTATACCAAATTTCACACTGTCTCTTTTTCAAAATGCTCAGGGTAGTTCTACCTACTGCCTTCTCATTTCTGATCCCAGGTTTTTATCTTTTGTAACAATGAGGTCTAGGAACAAGTACGTCTTTTCAATCAAAGAACAACGGGCAGGATTCGTATAGAGCCTTGGACACTGAATCCCATTCTTAGAAGAAACTCAATGATTTCTTTAACATGGGAACCCAAGAAGAACTATCTAGATGAACAGAAAACCGTAAGAGTCCACTGGAGTCAGGCGGCCAATAAATTTAAATAAATGATAATTTCATATAGGACCTCCTTGGGAGCACAATTACTTTGTTAAATTAAAGGCTGCATCAGGGGTTTCTTTTACTGCTGTTGAATACCTCCAATGATTCACCAGTTGATTGTACTCTAAAATGTATTTTCGTGCTTTGTTCCACTGTGTCCCTGATCACAGTGCAGCAGAAATGAAGTAACTGCGTTTATGAAGGTTTAACGTCAATAGAGACTAAATTCAATAGCCTTTTATAGGATCAGAGGATGCTCACTTCAGCAAGACTTTAAAGCGAATCCTACTGTCTGTGGTTTTGTAAATGGGTGCAAAGATCGCCACCTTTGTGATCGTAAATTCAGTTTTTTCATCACAGTTCAGTTTTGAATGAGACACTGCAAACTTTAGGAAGCCATAACCTTGTCCTACTCAGAGCACAGAATCTATCTACGTGGCTGCTAAGAGTCAACCCTGTCTTGACAGCACATAATCAAATCAATCAGCCAGAACAGCTTTCATTCTAAGCAGAGGTGGAAAAAAATGAATTGATTTAGTATTTCTTAGGTAAAATGAAAACTTCTTATGGGGATAACAGAGGTGGGATAGAGACTGCTACGAAGTTAAACAAACAAAGAGAACGACATGTAGCTGGTGACATTTTAAAAAAAATGTTTAAATTCCTCTTCCTGCACAGCAACTAGTGAAGAATAGAAATTAGATAGCAAAAAGTTAAGCACACGCAGAAAGTCACAAAGACATAAACATACTTTCGTTGCACGGCTTTTGATTTTGTCAGGAGGTTCTGGAGGCACCGGATCTGTAAAGGGGAAAGGATATTAAGCAACCTAGCAAGGATCACCAAAGGATGCTGTTTCATCAATATGCAAAACTGCATCAGGAGGAGTCTGGAAGCATCTTTTCCGACTAACAAATTTTATTCAAAGGCAAATCCTTCTGGGTTTTGGCTATGCTAGATGATCATAGACGAACGTGGCTCTCCTCCTACAAAAAATGCATCAGAGGAACCAAAAGGAGTGACAGAGAAGAGACAAAAGAGAATATCTGGATGTCCAAGGGATTATACCGTAAGATCAAAAAAATGTGACTAGGGTTTCTAGCAGTTGTGCAAAAAGTTTTTACAGCTCAATGGGGGCGTGCCTTTCTGGGAACAAGCTTTGCCTTGGAGAATCTGGTGGGGTCGGATCTGAAGGATGCATCCCTGAGGTTGCTCACACTAGTACCTCTGAGTACGAAGGAAGTATCAGCTTGGGCTCCCTCTGTGATCAACCATATCTGGAATAAACCAATCTCTGCATAGCCAAGTTGCACGGTAAAAAGTCAGGGTTACCGATACCCACAGTCTTCTCAAGGAGGTCATGCATGGCTAGAGAAATGGACCCTACAGCCAACAGAATTCCAGCAAGCAATGTTTACCTAATGCTTTTAATCACAGTTCTCCATTTCAAATCATTTTACATACCTCCTCGTAGCAAGTTTGCAGGGCAATGGTCATTTCTTCTGTATCAGTGTTCTTCACATCTGTCTGGAGCTGGCTTTTGGGAAACAGACACAAAAGGAGCAGCATTGGCACAGCCCAAAGAGACAGAAGCTAATCCTGAAGATTTCTTAACCAAATATACGGGATGGATCACTATCAATATTAACAGAGGCTACTAGATCCTGCTTTGAGTTCCTTATGGGTGGAAGACAAAGTAAATACATTAGCAAAGAAACAAAGAGAAAGCACCTGTTATTTTCCTATTCTGCCCTCCTGGCCTGCATTAAGTTTTCATGAGCACAGGGGAACCCTGTGGCTAGGAACCCCAACTACTATTATCTGCAGGACCTTGAAGAACCAAACTGGGCCACTTGGTTGCAGGAGGAACCCAGCCTTCTAGGAACTGTGATGCTTCCAATTCTTTCCAATCTGCTAGAAACGGGACGATCATCAACCAGGTACTTCTGTATCAGAGCAAACTCTGCTTGCTCTAGAACTGGATTGCCTTGGCCAGACGATCAGCTTTCTGGACATGTTTGCAAGATTCTTTCCATCTTTTTTTCCCCCTTACCTAACACAACATAGTCCTTACAAAGTTTGGGGTGACTTCCACCCCAGCATTCTCTTTCTTTCTTAGAATTGTAGCAGAAGTTTTTTTTTTCCCCCATGGATCTCGCCACTGGTTACGGCATAGTGGCTTGAAGGGGTGGGCAAAGGCCTTTGCAGCAGTGGTGCCCATTTTGCGATATAAGCCTGGAGTCTCTACTTGGTTCCCTCCCTCTCTGCTTTTGGATATCAGGTTTAAGATGCTGTTATTTCTTACTGCTGCCTGTCAAATCATTGTTTTGCCCTTTAGGACCTTTTTGTTTCATGTTGCCCAGGAGCACGAAATTATGAGGCATATGCAAATGACCAATTCATTGTTGGCAAACTTGGTCTTCTGCAAGAATGAAGAGGCAGGGGAAAATATTTACAAGTTTGCCGTACTTAATAGTGTTGTCTTTCTCCTTGCATTGCTGCTCTAGTCTGAGAATCTTCTGCTTCAAACCATTTATCACCTATTCCAAGAGAAAAAAAAAAGGTTGCCTACTGTATTGCATGGATGCACGCAGGTTTCACAACTGTTTCCTTCAACTGGGTAGCCTACAACAAGCTCATGCAAGATGAGGCCGACTTAGTGCAAGTCAGATAAATACAAGCCAGAGGAGACGTAGGGATTGTCTGGGAATAAAGCGATGCTGCTCTAAGATTGTGCTAAGGCTGAGAAAAGAGGAGACATCTCTATAGCTACCAACAAACAGCAGATGGGAGAGATCATTACAAGCTAATGAATTCTTAGCCCATCATTCAAACAGCCTGGGAAAAAGAGATTCAAAAGTTTGAAAAAGACCTCCCCCCCATGAACTTTCTAATAAAGGAGAGGTGGAGAGTCCCGTATCAGTTCTCAAGATTCTGTATTCTAACCCTTAATCCTTGGCATTAAAATTCATTAAAGAAAGTCTGCATGGATCTGGCTTCCTTGATCACACCCTGCATTTAAGGAGCTTGACAACTGTATCCTCTTCTTTCACCTCTTATTGAATGGATACCCCAAACTTTGGAGTGCCCCAAACTTGACTATGACAAAGCTGAAACTGTCAGTGCCCCCTTCTCATTCAACTTAAAAAAAATGCTTCGCTTTTTAAAAAGTCTAATCTCTCTCTCTTTCGCTGTCCGGATTTTTAGCAAGACCTGTCATTTCCAACCAACTTGGCCAACATGGTCATTCTAAAAACCGTGTATGTTCCTGCTCCCAGAAAGCTATAAAATCAGAACAGAAGGGGGAAAAGGTGCATTTACCGAGCTGCTCTCATTCTTCTGCTCTGTCCTTATCCAGCTAAATTCAGAACCCTGCAAAAAAGAAACAGTGCAGCATTCCTTATTAGTGAACCGGAGGCTTTGCAAATACCGTAGGAGGCACCCAGGTCATCTGCCACAGCCCAAGAAGGAGCGTTGCTCTGTTCTGCAGTTTGCTGAATCCAAGCTAGCACTGCCGGGCTCAGCCACAGAAACTTAGAAAGCCAAAAGCAACAGGCTTCCCTGCTCGTCAGAAGATGAATGAGCGGTGGCACCTATCGGAAGTCACCCTCCGCTTACCCTGAAGGGGTCCGAGAGCTGTTCAATTTGTTTGTCCTTCCGGTTATTTTCCTCTTCCAACCGTCGAAGCTTGGTTTTCATCCGATCGGCTTCACATTTCTGGGCCTGGATTGTCTACCACAGAAGGGAAAAGTATTTCGGCTGCATTGAACACTCTTTGTAGATGCTGCTCTATAAACATCAGTGGGTTCCTTTATTTGCATTGACTTGGGTATTGATGGCAGGGAGGTATTATTTTTTAAAAGCAAAATGAATCTACCCACCCCCGAGATATAAAAAATTAGCAATGATAAACTAGGAGAGGGAATGAATGAAGCATAAAGAACCAAGGGCTTTGGTCTTTGCCAATTCTTCATCCATACGCTTTATTTATTCCCCAAGGTTTCAGTTCTCTCCCTCCCAGACCTGTTTCCCATACCACGTATAATCAGGATAGCAAAAGAAAACAAAAATTGAATGAAGAAACAAGAGAATTCAGAATCCTTGAACAAAGTAAATAGTAACAGGAAAACAAGATAAGAGAAGATTTATCTTAACAGGAGAATATATAAAGACTTGTTCTTACCTTCTTTAGTTCAATTATCTCATCGTACATATCCTCCTTTTCTTTGTAGTCTGGAGTTCCAGGAATGTAGCCTAGAAAAAAGCCCCCCCTCCCAAGTGGCATTGATAAAGTGATTTTAAGACGGTATAATTCTACCTATTACAAAGCTTTCTCACACATAGACACCGCTTTCTCTTAAGCCCCTAGGAATCAATTACGGTAGAAACATTCTGGAACTGGTGTTGGGCCAACTGAGGTTGAGAAAGAGAAGTAGACCATCACACAGAAGTCTGAATGCAACTCAGATTCAAGGCTTGCGATCTATACGTAGAGATGCGGGTGAAGGAAGGCTTTTCTTCCCCTGGGAAGAAGTTCAGAGTTTCTTCTGAAATGAAAGCAGCCCCACGCAGGAACGAGGGATGATCAGAGCAACATGTAGCATTTTGATAACAAGGCATAAATACTCAACATCTGTCATCTCTGCTAGAACCGTTGTCTTAAAAAGAGTTCATTATGCCCATTTTGCAGGTCGGGTGCTGAAGGCAGACTGAAAGATGGGGCTTGCTTAAGGCCACTTAGCAAATAGGTAGTAAGAATCATCGTTTCTCTTATTTATGAAATTTACACTGCTTAGAGTCTGCTCAGTCCAAATGGACTCCTGGCAGTTTTCGAGTGCCTGGTTCAGCCCCGATTTGCTATTATTTTCTGTGAGCTTGATGAAAAAAACAAACAACCACCACCTTAAATGGTTCATAAATGCAGCATTTTTAAAAATCTTCATTCCCAAGTCTTAACTTTCAAAAGCATGTACCCAACCTTGCCTCACCTTCTAGAGCTAGAATTCCGTTTCTCCAAACTCACCATGGCTGGCAGAGCGAGCGTGTTTTGGCTTCTTCATGCCCAAAGCTTCCTTGAGATATTCAGGCGTACTGCCAGGAAGAGGGGACAAGGCGGGACCGATGCCAGTCTCGGACTTGGACTGGCTCACCCAGGTACCTAGGGAAGAGAGGAATGAGGCACCGAGAAAGATGGAAGACAATCCCAATCAACTCAATGTATTATTACCTTTGTGCAAATTCAGCTACTAACTATGCGTTAACCAGACATTTTAATCCAGATTCTAATCACAGTTCTACTGTCCTCGGGAAGACTCTGGTAAAGGAAGAGCTGATTTCATACCTTGCTTCAGAGATCCACGCCAATGTTGCCTTGAAGCTTTCACCAAAGGAATCTCTGCACCTTTAAAAGACCTCAAAAACCCAGTCCTTTTAGAATGGAGGCATGTGCTAGAGGTATATGGAGACCCTGCAGGAAGGAGAAAAAAAAATCAGCATTAAAAGTTCTAAAAAGCAAGCAAGAAGCATTTCATTTTGTTACAAGATGAACAGGCCCTTTAGGATCTCAGAAAGAAACAAAACAAAAACAAAAAAAATTCATAATCATGTGCAAGCATATACAAGCTCTTGAATGCTGTATAACACATAACAAAGCAGTCGTTTTTTAACCAGGTAGCAAAAATGTGTTTTAAAAGAACTGGGTAAAAGCTTCAAGCCTTTGGAAGAAAGCATCTTCCCCTGGCAGGGAATTCTACCTCTCTGTCCCTTTCCATAAAAATTGAGCTCATGCCATGAAAACTCACAGAGATTTTTTATTAAGATTAGGTTGCCCCAAAAGAAAGGACACCATGTCAACAGATGTGGTGATGTGATGCTTACTTGGTGACTTTGCAGGCCTGCGAGACATTTTCTTCTTCAGTCTCTGCAAAAAAAAAAAAAGTTTGCATCGAAGTTTGCTACTAGGCAATTTTTGGGGGGTGAATTCCCCATTGGTATTCAGTTTTCTGAGCAGAATTCTACTGCAATTACAGGCTTATTGGAATCCCATGGCTACAAGAGCACCCAATGCATTTAGGTCACATCAATTCCAGTGTTTAAAATGTCAGAAAAATACTCAGTAGAGTTTACAAACTGAAAGCAAACAGCCGTATTAATTGATTGCAAAATTTTCTTTGTCTAGTTTGAATATCATAAATAGGCTCCTAACAGTTTGCTTGCCTCATTGTTACCATTAATGGTTTCCATAGAACAAACTGAAATTAAAGGACCAGGGAACATGCATAAAACTAATTCACGTGTCCTGTTAAATAAGTTGAATCGTTTAGTTTTGGCTTAGCATGAAACACAGACCATATTATTGTGGTTTGATTCACAAACTGCTATTCAGTGTGACATCTAAATCTATCCAGTATCAGTTTATAGAACACCAGAGAATTTAGAAATAACTGGCCCAACTTACTGTTTCTGTATCTGATTCATAGCTTAGAGCAGAAAAACTATCTTCTGCCTGTAAAATAAATATGCAGTTTTTATAAAATGTGGTTTTGAGGGGCGGTATCTAAATATCTTTGCCTATGAGGTTGTCATGCACTGAGTTGGAGCAGCGGTCTGTTAGTATTGCCAGTTCTGACCGGCAGCTGCTTCCCTGAGGCTTTCTTATCCTCTCATCCCAGATCCTTTAGCCCGGGATGCTTGGAATATGACCAATCTAAATTACTCCAAGAAACTCAGAACAATATAACTGTCCATCCATAAATGGCCATCGGTGATGATGGACGGCCAGCTCAAGAGGCCAGTGACAATGCAGATGATTGCCTGGAACAATCAGCTATAAAACATCTAATGCGTTTTCAGCTTTAAGAGCTGCGAGGCAATGAAACGTTCGTCTGCTTAACCTGTGTTTCAGAAAACCCTGAACTTTACAGAGGTTCACCGTGAGAAGGATTGGTAATGAAGGGCACACTCCTGGGACAGACAAAATATTCTCCTGCAAGGGAGAAGGGTTGAAAACTTTCAAAAGGGCAGCATGTGGATTCTTGCCCTGTTTTTGCAGATGAGTCATTCTCAAAGGGCCTCGCTGCTCATTTCCATCACTGCCTCCAGTGCCCTTTTTAAGCCTTATCCTTAGATCTAGCTCTTGTCCTGCGTGAAAAGCAAATGGGGAGAGGAGTGAGGCTGCTTTTTAGAACCTGAGCAGCAGGTAAGCGAGGGAGATAAAGAGCAGGCAACCGGGCGGCACGGCACGGTTTTTAATTTCCTTAAGTCGCATTCCACAGAGCGCATTAGCCGATTATTTTCGCTATCAGGCGCTTGATCTTCGCCTCGTCCCTCTTCCCAATTTGCTCTGCTGTTATTAAGAATCGGCCCGAAGCTGGCCAAGCTGCGAGCGAGGGAGGGAGACGCGTGAACCTGCAGAAGGGCAGGCAGCCTGCCCAGGAATTGCTATTGCCCAGGCCTGTGCCAGGCCCAGGCCTGCCCTGCCCTGCCCTGCCCTGCCATTGCTGGGGAAGGGGTCAAGCAAGGGACGCCCCAAAGGAAAGGGGGCGTGTGTCGTGGTGGAGGCGCCGGCCCGCAAACCAGGAGGTGGCGGGTTCTAGGCCTGCCTTGGGTATCTGGGGCAGCCCCGCAGTTCAGGAGCCCCCCTGGCGGCCCGGGTCTGCCCTGTAATGTGGGAACGGACACGATTCACGTGAACCTCCGCGCGGTCTCCCCGCCCCCCCGGTTCGGAGGGGGGAGAAACGTTCCCTGAAGCCCGACGGCCTCCAAGCCTTTCCCGGCGAAGCTCCCCGCTTTCTGCCCACCCACCCACTCCTGCGGCTGGCTGGGGATGATGGGAGCTGCAGTCCCCCGGGAGGCGAGCGGGGTGGCCGGGGCGCCTCCTTCCCCGCCGGCGGCCCTCACCGGCTCCCGCTCCGCGGCGGCCTCGCTGGGGCCCTGCGACATGCCAGCAAGGCGACGAGGGGGCACAGGCGAAGCGCCCCGCCACCATCGCCCCGCGCCGGCCCCGCCTCCGAACTTCCGGCCGGATACCATGGCAACCCGCCCCGGCAACCGGGAGCGAAAGTCCCGGATGGACGCGCGAGCGGCCGCGCCTGCGCAGATGTGGCTCTGCTTCGTCAGCTGCCGCTGCCTCTGCCTCGCCTCAGAAGGCCGAACCTGGCGTCCCGCAGAGGCCGCGGGCCGACTGTTCCCATGGCTCCCGGCTACGTCCGCCGGGGGCGATGGAGACCGGAGCCAAATACTTTTGGAGATGCCCGGCAGGGGGAAACCAAGTCCTGGCGTCGTCGGGGAGGAGGCGAGCGTCCCTTGCCCTTCTGCGCATGCCCAGACCAGCCAGGCAGGGGTGCGCCCGCGCCTGCGCAAAGAAGACGGTCCCTGTAGCGTGCAGGCGCGGCGCTGCAGCGGGAGCGGCGTCTTCTCGCTCGCTTCCACCCCTCGCCTTCCGGGCGGCTTAAGCCTGCTCGGCGCTGCTGCCGGAGGCTCTCTTCGTCTGCCTCCCTTTGGAAGTCCTGGGGAGGGGGCGCCGCCCCGCGGGGACCCCGGATTGGGCGCTGGGCCTGGGCTCGACTCCTCCCCCAGCAGCACTGCTTGCATTGGGGCCAGCCAGGCCAGGGCGGCCCTTCTGCCTCTTCCCTGCGCGAGGGCATTGATGAGCTTAGCAGACGCGTGTGTGCGATAGAAGGGGCGTGTGAACGTGGCCTGCAGTGAGAGGACCTAGCAGAAAGACCCCCCTCCCCGGGCAGCCAAGGAGCCCCTCTCTAAGTCGTGCCCCCTGGATGCCAGCTCTCCTCCGTTCGCGAGGACACCCCGCAGGCTCCCTGCTCCCCATGGACGCGAAATGCTGCCAGCTCTTGCCTTCCGTTTGCACTGTCCTGGCCGACCCCAGGCACCCCGTGGCTGACGACACGTGTCTGGAAAAACTGCTGGACTGGTTTAAGGCTCTGGCCAGCCCCGGTGAGTAGGTGCTTAGCTTTGCATTCGGGTAAGGGGGGTGGGCTCTGCAAGGAAACCCACCCTCGGGGGCTACCGGAGGCGAGGGACCGAACCGCCGGACGCAAGGATGGAAGGCGATGTGGGCATCGCGACGTCACTGGTGTGGTCGCCTTCGCTTGCTGCAGACTAGGAAGTTTGGAATCGTAATTCCCGTTCAGTTGCACTCTTTGTGGGACGTTACCGGGACGGTAAGGTAGCCGTGGAGGTGGGCTCCTCTCTCAGTTTGGCGCTTGCTTCTACGCGTGATAAGCTGGCCTTCGTGGGAAGTTGGGCAAGCCGCTCTGGAACCGAACGGAGAAGTTAAAGCTAATAGTAATAATGTAGCCTGATGCCTAAAATCAGTGTTTCTCAACCTTGGCTGCTTGAAGACGTGCGGACTTCAATTCCCAGCTC